TCAATTCATTCAGCCGTGTGTGGGCCGCTGTTGATGAGACAGGATCATGAACAGTGGGTGGGAGAGGCAGAGATGAACAACAGCACTTGCATCCACTGAACTCATCAGTAATCTGGTCATGTGATTCATCAGATGATGAACATTGATTTGGAAGAAAAAAGATAAATGTGAGATAAAATCCAATATATAATCCCTGTCCTGTGAAAAAAAGGGACAGGCCACGTCCGATGAATCCATGGGTTTGGTTTATTTATTAAAATTATTTCAAGTAATCTGGCCACAGCTACTGTTTTAAAATTCAACTCCTAATGTTGGAATAACAATGTTCAATCATTGACCACTTCAATAGCTCTCCCTTTTTCTAAACTCATTAACTTACAAGTTTATACAGCACACCTTGTTCCATCATGCACTTTCCTGTCCACTAGATTTATATTCATGAAATGGAAAGAATACTGTTTGCAAGATTTTTTTTAATTTTAAGGGTACAGGGGTGGAATTGAATTAAAATATGTTGCCAAATAAGTGTTTGGTTTTTTAATCGAAGAAATGCCAGCCAGTTTCCTTGTGTGTGGAATTACAGTGACTTCTTGTTATTTAACTGACAAAACCATTTTTTTATTTTCTATGGACTAAATAGTCTGTGTTCTGGAAAAGTCAAAAGTCAAACTGTAAAAGTTTTAAATTATCCAGAATTTCTGCACAAATGCCTCTGGCCCTGATTCAAAAGCTGAATGAAGCCATTTGTTTTGAAAGAGACCATGACCCCTTTTATAAGGCACTGCAGTGAGAACCGGAAGGGAAAAGTATTAAAACATAGTCATGGACTTTCTACATGCCATTTGCTGATGGTGTGTTCTGTCAGTACTGCAGCAGATGAAACCTCATGTTTGCACTATTGATGAGAAAGTCTGTAGAGAAGCAGCTCTGATTCACTCCCTCTGGAGTCTTTCAAATCTCTGACCATATTTGCAGTAAAATGAACAACAATGACCTGAAGAACTGTTTTAAGGTGAGTATGAACATCAACTTTACAGTGAGCTCCATCCTTTTCTCTACAGTGAGGTCCTTTAGATGCACATACTGTACCAGTACTCTGTGCAGCTGAAAAACTCGTTAACAGGCAGAGGACTGAATGTGCAGGGGAACAGTAGAACCCTGAAGTTCTTCTACAGCTCAGAAACAGGAACAGTGAAGCACTAATGGCCCTTCAGTGAGGATAGAACAGCAGAACTTCACCCTTTATCTGCGTCAACTCTTGCTATCATCTATCCATCACGGCTCAGCTCTCAGCACACAACAACACAAATATTGTGTAGACTGTGCTACGACCGAACCCTCTCCTCCTCCAGCTGTTGAATTTTTCATTACATGGCGATCTTTCGAGGGACACAAATGTATTTTCTCAGCAAGGACTGCGCAGGAGGTCAGATGAAGGAAGATGCAGACTAGAGAGAGGGAAGTGCTGTAAAAGATGGAGCAGACTCCCGACTACTGCTGTATCCTCCCCCCTGCTGTAACAGCCCCTCCTCCACTACAGGCTCAAAGAGCTGGGTTTGGCCTTACAGGATGATTTGCCACTTTATTACTAATTGATATTCGTTGGATAAGCGATGCTCATTAGCACAAGTGCTGAACGGTGAAGCTATAGCCGGCTGACATTTTCAGTCTTTGTAATGGCTGTTGCTGAACTTCTTAATGCAGTGCAGAAAGCGAGGAGAGCAAAAAAATGAGAGTGAATTTAGAGGCTGAACTTCAGTCCATCAGCCAAAAAGTTCTAAATGGTCAAAAATAATGGAACACATTTCCTGCCTTCTTACCTAAGTTATATGTGCATGACAATCCTACAGATTCCACAGACACAGGCCGGTTACAAATTGCGTAGAATTTATACCGTTTTCACAATCGACCCCATAGTTGTCGAAGCGAATACACTTTTGTGTTCACACTGATGTTTAACACTGGATTCCCTACA